TCTTTTTTTAAAAAATAGTACCTTAACAACACAATTTTCAGAACATTCCGATTAGATGGGATCAAAAGGATGTACCCCATGTATATATGATGGTCCACTTAAAACTTGTGTATATAGGTATTTACTTAAAGACCCTAATCTTTTTTATTTGGAAGTGTGATCCAATTGTAAAATTCAGTTAGGATTTGTTGCCAATTTATAACATATATTATTGAGAATTATACATTTCCATATTGTTTTTTCAAATTGGAATATAAGAAATATTCCATTTCATAAATCTTTTAGAATTAATGAATAAAATAAAACTAATGTTGTAGATAACCCCATACATTTCATCTCCCTAGCTCTTAAGTATATGAATTTCACATGCATTGGTCTATCTATGTGAAGTATTGACTTATCTTATACCACTTACTCTAACTTGACTTTGTGGAATATGTCTGATTAAATGATTTCCAGTGGTTACTGTCTCACCCTGAAGTTCTTTCCGAAGTCTAAATTGAAATTATAAATGGTCTCATGAAAATACCGATGTAAAGCAAGAGTAAACCCTAATAAATAAATGCAAATAATAATCGGAATTGGTATGTGGAATTTTTCTTGAGTTCTACATGTCGAAATACGCTAACAAGATTTTTAGTGGAATTTTCAGAGCTCTAGAAATAATTTTAACCAAATAAAATTGAGCACAAGCAATATTTAATCCCAGGGAAATTCATTTCCTTCTTTTTCTTTTTCTTTTTTTCTTCTTTTTCCCTTTTTCTCTTTCGAATGGGCCGCCGGCCCATTCTCTCTTCTCTCCCCCTCCCCGCTGGGCCAGCCGAAGGCCACGACCCAGCCAGCCGCCCGAGCCCCCTCATCTCTCCCCGGGTCGCCGATAGGTGGGGCCTACCTGTCGGGCCCGTCTCCCACCTCCAGCCGGCGCCACCGCGCCCCGCAACCGCCGCCGTGCCCGCTCCCACGTCTCCCGGGCCACGTCGCCCACGTCGCCCTCGCGCCCGCGTTCCCCGCGCCCACTTCCCTCTCTTTCCCGCTCGCGCCCGCGCTCGAGACGGCCGGGATTCAATTTTTGAATCCCGCCTCTCTCTCCTCTCCCACTCCCCCACGTCGGCCGGCGATTTCCGCCTCTCCCGGCCACGTCCGGACCCCTCCTCCCCTATTTAAGCACCACCGCCATCCCCTCTCTCTTTTTCCCCATCTCTCCGAGTCCTCCCGTGCTCTCCACCGCCCTAGCGCCGTCGCCTTCCTCTCCGCCACCGCCGCCGTCGCTCCGGTCGCCGCTAGCCGCCGCTAGCCGCCGCTAGCCGCCGTGCCGAGCCGCGCCGTCGACATCGTCACGTTCGCCGTCGTGCGGGCCGTCCCGTCCACCCCTCCTCCGTAGCAATCCGCCGCCGGAACCCCGTCCGCGCCGCGTGCCGGTGAGCTCCGCCATGGCCGCCGTCTTCGGCCGGCGCCCTCGCTCTCTCGCATTTTCATCTCCCCCTCTAACACCTCTCCTCTTGTTCGTTAGGTGGTTCCGGAGCTCGTCCCGCCGTCGCCATCGCCCTCCGTCGCTCACCGTCGTCAATCGTCGTCGGTGAGGCCTCTCTTCCTCTCTCTCTCTCCCTCTCTCCCGCGCCGCTTAGCCGCCGCGCCGCCGCCTAGCCGCTTAGCCGCCGCTATCGCCATCCGCGTCGCCGTGATGCCGCCGCCCTCCGCCGCCGGCCGGTCGCCGCCAGTCGCCGCCTTGCGCCGCCGCTGCGTTGAGCCGCGCTGCCGTGCGCCATGGCCGCCGGGCCGGCTTGAGCCGCCCGTGCGCGCTGGCCGCGTGCCGCCCCCTCCACCGTCCGATCCACCCCGAGTGGATCGGGGCCGTCCGTTCGGCCGCCCGCGTGGCTGCCGCGTGGCCGCCGCGTCGACGCTACGTCAGCGCCACGTGGTGCGCCGCCCCTTTCCCGGTCCATGGACCCGGTCCACCGCGGACCGCCACCTGCAGCCACTGCCAGGTGGGGCCCGCATGTCGGCGCCGCCCCTCTCTCTCCCAGGATTTATCTATTGCGCAATAAATCAATTAAGGATTTTTCTGTTTATAGTAAAAACACAGTGAATCTTCTAAAATTCATATCTAATTCATCTGAGCTCCGTTTAAGTCCATTCAAGTCTCAGTAAATCAAGAAAAATGCGTAGAATCCATTAAAAATTGCTCTCTATTTCTGTAGTCTTATAGCCTGTTTGTATTGTTTGCTTTATATGTCGCTTAGATTCCAGCCCTCCCGATGCTCCGGTGTACTTTGAAATAGTCGCCGAGGTTCCTCCAGCAGCAGAGCAAGGCAAGTCATGCTTGTCACTTGAACATGTTGATCCTATATTGCAAATGCTCCATTGTTTTCCTTCAAATACTGCATTGTTTTATAATATTACCATGGGATGTTTACCTAATGTTATAGCCATGCTATTTTGTACCATGTTCCTTTGTTAGCTTGGGATATAACATGACTAGATATTGGACTAGGGATTGCTTAGCCATGCTTAGTTTAACTAGCACACAATGGGGAAAATTATATTAATGTCTAGACTTCAGGTTCTAGTGTTGACATTGGATTAGAGCCACCGTCCTGGTGTCGCTTCATTAAAATATGTTAAATGGTGGGCTGTGGGTGCATGGTTTTGCTAGTCGCGCCCATGGCACTTAAGGACCGGTTCACGGGAAACCTTGGAAGAATTCCTCGTACTTACCACAAGCCAGTGTGGGCAACGGCTAGGCTTGTAGTGTAGCTTTCCTCTAGCTGACGCATCCAGGCAAGGGTGGGCGTGATGGAGTTTGGATGGGCCCTGTGACGGCTTATGCGGCTTCCGGATTCACCTAGGCACGAGAGGGGACTGCCCGCTGCCTTGTGAGGAGTGGGGGTGAAACCTGAGGTGTGGTGTGCTTGGTTAGAGGAGGTTATGCGAAGGGTCCTGTCACGGCCTCTATCCGGTATGTCGTGGTGACATGTCGGCGCACGGAAACGTGTCGTGAGGCTGTGTCTTGTGGGTACAGTTGTACACCTCTGATCAGAGTAAAACTATTCGAATAGCCGTGCCCGCGGTTATGGGCGGTCAACCGGATTCACCATAATTAGTTTCACCCTAGTCTAGTCTTATAGAATTGAATAGTATAGGTGGATGGTTGGGCCTGTTGCAACATGGTATAGCATTGGACAGTGGATGATTAATATTGATTAATTATTACAAATGTTTTACTGCTTCCAACTACTGTTTATAAATGCTCGCTTTATGCAAACGAACCTCTATAGCTATCCCTTGATAATTCCCTGCATCATACCCCTATTCCGATATGACTTGCTGAGTACAGTGGGTAGTACTCAGTCTTGCTCTATTTTCCCCAAACCGCAGAGTTTGAATATGCGTCAGATGGTGGCTTCTCCGAGGAGTAGGCTTCGTCCGTGCCGTCGAGGATGCCTGTGGAGTGGTGATCCCGCTGCGGTCCAAGTCAAGGCTTAGCTCCAGTTATCTTTTAATTTTCCGCTGCATTTATGTAAGACTTTATGATGTTTGTAAGACATGGATCTGTATGTCAACTTTGTCGTTTGTGTACCCCGGCCGGTCCTGGACGGGGGTTTTAATGCACATTCTGCTTAGAATTCTATTCGGGAATTTCTGGGCGTGACAGTTACTATCCATGTGTTCCGAAGGTGAATTTCATTTCAATGTTTTAATTTTTTTTAATCAGCCTCTTTGCTTTTCTTTGTATAGAGTAAAGTCTTCAAATCTCTCAAGAAAGAAAATAAAAATGGTCAAGTTATGTATCTCGAACAGGACCAACAATACCACCACACGCTATATTAATCGGTGCGCCAACCGGCACACCTATTTTCTAGTATTCTCTATGTCTTGCTACGTACCATTTGAAACGTCAACACTATATCTGCGTACCTTCTTTTATCAACCATTTATTCATGTGGCGTGTCATGTTAGCACCACATAGGCTCCCGGAGGGGTTGTGGCAATTTGGGACCGAAATGATACACTTTTACAACTTTAGGACCTAAGCAAATATTTTGAGAGTTCGAGCACCTAAATGACACAAGCAAACAAGTTTAAAGAAATAGGTCTAGGGACCATGCGCTTTACTTTTTTTTTAATAATGAAAGCGATAATAACTCTGCCTAGGTACCAGTTAGGGTTGCACACGATCATTATACTACCAAAACTTAAAAAAAAAGAAAAGGAAATTGAAAAACTAAATTAGGTAACAAATAGGTACAATATTGAAATGATATGACATATCGCCACCTATTTTTAATCAGTGACGCTATTGACTTTTTAATATATACATTCGATCATTTTTCTCATTCGATAATAAGTTTTATGCAAAGATGTATCTTGTACTCAAAAATACCTTTAATGATAAAATAAATCATATAAAAAAGTAAATGATAATAATTGTATAGGTTGACAATTGTCAAAAATATGCCAAATGTCAGCGTGCGCGCGTTCATAGGGGTGAGTGTGCGTGCGTTGTGAGTGTCTGCGTTGTACTGTGTAATTCTAAAACAAAAAACTTGAGGGGTGTCGCAGTACTTCCTCTGTTCCTAGAAGAGTAGAAGAGTATACACTACTAAAAAACAATTTTTCATGGCGTTACCCTATAATTTTCGCTAGCGGCCATACATGAAAACCACAAGCAAAAATATAACAACGGGTGGGGGACCACAGACCGCCAGCGAAAACTGATTTTCGCTGGCGGCCACGCTAAGAGGTCTGCCATAAAAAACTCTATTTTTTGAGGCGGACCTCTTAAGTGTCCGCCAATGAAAATCACGTTTTCGTTGGCGATAGGTAATGAGGACCGGTGAAAAAAAATTGAGGTGAATAAATATCCATCGCGCGCAACTCACCGCCCTTATCCCTCGGTCTCTCCGCCTCTCTCCCTTCTCGATCTCTCCACCTCTCCTCCAATCCCTCGCGTCTCTCCTCCCTCCCTTCTCCACCATCGCCGGTTGCCGTTGTCACCTCACCACCGCCGGCTGTCGTCGCCTCCACCACCGCATCGGCCAACGGGGAGGGCCTCGGGAGCGGCGGCGGGGCGTGGCCTCCTCCTCTCCGCCGCGGGCCGCTGCGACGACGGGGGAGGCCGGATCTGGCCACCGCAACGACGAGGGAGGCCGGATCCACCTCCTTGATGACGTGGGAAGCTGCCGGGTGACAACGACGATAGGGAGAGGGTGGCAGCTCGGGGAAGGGGGCGATGGCGGCTCTCGGAAGCAATGGTGCAGGACAAGAGACGGCGAGGAGCAGATCCGGCGCCTCCTCCCTCCCCACCGACATCGGCGATGGCAAAGGGGAGGATGGTGGCGGTGAGGTGATGGCTGTGCTTGGGAGGACGGAGGAGGATCCAGCGGGAGAGTGGATCTGGCGGCGCTTGGGAGCAACGAATCCATCCCCACCGGCGGCGCTCGGCGGCAGCAACGCGTGGGAGGGGCGGCGGGGAGCAGATCCGCTGATGGCCATCCACACCCACCCTCCATCCTCATCTCTTACTGTGTGATGTGTGATGTTAAATTTTTGTGCTCGATGTGTGTGATGTGGAATTTGTGCTCTGTGATGTGAATGTGGAATATTTTTGTGCTCTATGATGATGATCAAACCATTTTTGTCAAATTTTGCTTGTTGTTGTAGATTTGGGATTTGGTGATATGGATTTGGAATGTAGGGCAGCAGCTTGTGGGCATATTCATTTTTGCTTTTCAAATTTTATTTTCAAATTTCATCTTCGCTGGCGGCTAGGGCAGTTGCATGGGTTTTTTTTTGTCCAAAAATAGATTTTTGCTAGCAGCCGATTTAACACAGCCGCCAGCGAAAATGAATTATCACTGGCGGTCGGAAGATACGTCTTTACTGGCAGCTGGTTTAAGATGGCCGCCAGTGTAGATCTTAATCTTCACTGGCCTTTACTTTGTGGCGACGCCAAATGCTGCTAGCGAAGACCCAAAATGGCCATCATTTCGTAGTAGTGATAGTTTTAGCTAGTCAAACAAAGATTAAGCAGTAGGTTAAAATACTACTACGCCGTATGATGGGATTAAGAGAGAGTCCTACTGGTTCAATAGGTGAAATAGAATTAAGGAGGTCTATTGCCCCCTACTCTGAAAATACACTCGTTTAGAGACAACTTTTTAATCAAAACTTTACTCTTTTATTCATTATGATCACAGTTATTAGGGGTAGTACTATTTTTTCTCGTATTCATTATTTTGTGCATTATTTTGGATTTGTGTTGCGCAGTAGGGGTGTAAATAAACATATCATTATTTAAGCCAACTATTTGTTTAGGACATACTCGGGAAAATTTAAAAATTGCCATGTTGCAATTAATGGATGCGTGATTCCTCGGTCCTGATGCAAGCAAACAATAGCAAAACAGAGTGCCAGTGTCCCATCCGTTAAAAGGGCACCAAAAGGGCCTTTCGGCTCATGTTTTTTCCATCTGATTATCAGAAGCATCTTCTTCCTCGCCCACATCCTCATACACCCTTTTCGGTTACTGACCATCAAATCTCAATCTAGCTCATCTACAGGTCAAAAATGGAGGTAAAGAAACCCGCAGCCACGAATCGCCTGTCATCTCTTCATTTATTCCTTTTGAAATGGAATTTTACATTCCCGCTTGTTTAGAAATATGCAGTAGTTTTCATTATCATCTCTGTTTGCATGTATAGTAGTAGTAATGACTAGTAGTTAATTGATCCTTGGATTAATTTATCTTGTGATGCAGAAGGGGAGGAGGCGGCACATCCCGGCATTCGGTGAGTGGAACCAGCAATGCGAGGAGCTGCCAATCACGCAGTACTTCGATTCGGCGATGGAACAAGGCCTCGTCGTCACGGCCGGACACTACTACCACGCCACTGCCGGCGAGTTGCTCTTCAAGGTCGCCGGCTCACCGCCTCCCCAGAAGCCACCCAAGAAAGCAAGTATACTATGGCCTGTGCTCCATAACATTTTTAGTGCTTGCACACTACCTTGGAAAAAAACACTAAAGAAACTCTAGTGCTTATTACTCATTGCCTAAACATTTTAGTGATCATAGTGGTAAAATATAGATATGTCCGTTGTCTAAAAGAACTTCGATCTATTGTTGATCACTTTAAAGTGAAGGTGTCTTTAGTATATCTAATTAATTCAAATTTGAAGTATGCATGGAAGATTTGTGGATATTTTATCCGAACACACATGGCATATATATCTTGATAAATTGCAAGCACTACCTCTATCTTGATTTGTTCTTTGTCAAGACGGTTTTATGATTGCATTTGTCAGGTGAGGAGCACAAAGAATGGGATGGAGAACCAGGCGGCGAGGAGGAGGGATGGGCCATCTGTTGTTGTTGATGGTGGGGTAGTTGTCCATGGATCGAGGAGGCCTAGGGTTGTTAGGGCAGTTGACGAGGACTTGTACAAAGTCCCCTCTGAACTCCTCCGCAAGAAGGCAAAAGGGGTACTACTACTGCACCCAATTTAACCTCCATTTATCTTTAATTATCTTGAGGATACTAATTAGTTTTCGAAGGATGAAACAAATCGCTAATAAACCATGTCAGTGTACAGATCAAGTTGACTCCTAGTAATTCTTGTTATTCACTAAATGTCCACGTGCTGATCTTTTTTTATCAGAGGAAGCATGTGAGAAGCTTGTGGATGGGCTGTGTAGGACTCAATTGCGTCGCCTGAATCATAAAGAAGATGCAATCTACAAGGCTACGCATGGCAACATTGTTCAACTGTACCGAGAAAGCCTCACAATATATATGTGGACCGATTGGCCTTTATTTTGTGGTTGAAGACGTTTGTCCAGACTGCAGTCTGGGGTGCAAGCAACTGTTGCTTGCACCTAGTGAAAATTTGTTACTGCCATATATGTAAATTATCTAGGAAAACGAATGGTAGATGATCTGAAGCTAGCTAGCTAATCTAATTTGCAGAGCCTTGCTGCTTGCCGTGGCTCTTCATCAGCCGTGGTAGAACGCTCTCGAGCTTTGTGCGACACTAGCTAGTGCCCCTTCATCGTTCTACGTGGGGAGCTTTTGTTTTTTTACTTGGTCCGTCTTGGCAATTTGGCATGCATGTAGGACGGACACTGTGATGCCGTCTAGACCTCTTGGAGGGGGGGACAAGTTGTCAGAGATGCGACTTCACTTACATAATAAGATCATAGTGGAGAGAACTTTCTCAACTTTTTTATAAGTTAGTTGTGTTTTCTTATATAAATTGAGAGTAAATTTAAGAAAATCTCATGTATTGATGAAAGTTTAGGAAAACCATAGGTTTTATAACATATGACACATAACCACGGGTACCATCGTTAAAATCTTGATAAACTTCAGCATTTCTTACATTTTTTAGAATCCTAAAAAATTAAAGTATCAAGAGTAAATTTCACAAAACTACAGATGTAAGGTGATGTATCACAAAAAATACAGATTTAACAATAAATTTATCACAAAACTACAGTTTCAAGGCTAAGTATTGCAAAACCACATTTTTTATTATAAAATTATCACAAAACTATAGACATTGGGGTTGAAATATTTAGCATTAATGTTATGTTTGAGTTATAATGTCCAAGCTTTGCGATTAAATTGATATAAAACATGTAGTTTTACAATAACTTTATTACTAAATCTATAGTTTTGTGATAGTCCACCTTATACTTGTACTTCTGTGATTTAGTGTTAAATCTGTAGTTTTATGATACATCATATTAAATATGTAGTTTTGTGATAATTTGACTAAAGTACTTATAGTTTTGTGAAATTTACTCAAGTATCGATGCCAACAACTTATTAATTATTTTTTTATAGACACTGAAATGTTTTCAAATTTTAAATTAATTCGCGCTCAAAATGCATAAAGGTAGGGTTTTGTGAAACATTAAAACCATAATACCTACAGTTGGGTGTCACATGTCATAATACATGTCTGCAACTTTAACTATAAAACTAGGAAAATGGCCTGCACGATGCGCGGGAATTTATTTTGTTGAAAGATAAGATTATAGTTTATTTAGAAATTCTCATAGGTAAAAAACTTAGGATCAAACAATATCCTTTTAAAATGATTCAGGTGTTCTATTTTCTTAACGTATCTCAAAAAACAAACATCGACTCTTGAATAGAAGATGGATTAAGTTAATACAACTTTTGCATCAAGTAAATATTACACTACCGCTAGCTTAATTATCAAGCATATCACTTGTATACATACCATGCAAATATGGCTAGAAGCGAAAATTGCGAGATCAAGGAACTCAAAATGATCAATGGTCTTACGAAGGCATATGACAAACAAATTAAGGGTACATTAAAAGTTGGATTATCCCCCCTCTATTAAGGGTACTTTAAAGGTTTTGGTGCATACAAATTACTTACACCATCGCTTTGCTTGGTATTGCAAAATATCAACATTGTTTGAAGTTAATTTCTTTAGTTTTGGCAAGTTTAATTATTTTCTTGAAACAATATTTGTCTAAAATAAGACCATAATTATATAAATTTAATTAGTATGGGTAGTTTACTTATAAATTTTGAAGTGTTTTGTAGTAAAGTTTTTCTATCATGTAGTCTGGTTATATCAATAATATAGTTTTGTTCAATAAATTGAATCTTATTTACTGCACCAGAATTAATAAAAATTTATGAAACCATCCATGACTACTTAAAAATTTTTGGTTTGTCTAATTTTTTTATTTTAAATTCAAATAATCACATATTCTCCTTCTAACCGGTGTGTTTGTCATTATTCATAATAAAAAACTCCTTGTACAATTGACACATCGATATTGTCATTCAATCACATATAAATGTAAAATATTTGTCATTATTCTCAGACCCACTACACCATGTCCCAAAATTAGCGTCAGATAGCTATTGGAAAAGAATTGATATTAGCTTCAGACCATCTGTGGCGAGAAGGTTAGTGTCAGATGGTCCGTTGGTAGTTCATTTTAAAAAGACAGACTGTCTGTCGGCAATGATACTAATTTATGGGAACAGATGGTCTGTTGGTAGTTCTATAACTACCGTCAAATCGTCTGTGGGCATTTCTCGGGGCCCGCCAAAAAATTGGGTCAATGAGTTTGCTTGCGCGCGAGCGAAAATTTGCCGCGCGCGGGTTGGGCTAAAATTTGCCGCGCGGGCTGGGCTGGCCGAGTCAGAGAGCCAAATAAACCCTAAAAATCACACAACTATCGATCTACCCATCCCCAGCCTCCCCCACGCACGCCTCCAATCGCGCCGCCGCTGCTCCCCTCCTCCCGTCGCGCCGCTAGTCCCCTCCTCCCGTCGCGCCGCCAGCCCTCCCCATCTCACCGCTGCTCCCCTCCCATCGCGCTGCGCTCCCTGCCTCCCGTAGCACCTCCGCCAGTCCCCATCGCGCCGCCGCATCGCTCCACCCATCGCATCAACCCTGCAGCTCTCCAGGTCAGGAGGAATAGATGTCCCCTTCGGCCCTGTCAATTCCACCACCACTCCGTGACTCCTAGGGCTCGTAGCTCCAGGAACCAGCGCCCACGCACCCTCCCACGCTCGCGTGTCCACTCCGCTGTCACTCTTCTTGGTATCGATTCTTTACCCATGCCTCATTGATGCAATTTGCTTTCTTGCGTTTTCTGTTCTTGCGTGTACGTTCTTGGATTTCTGTTACATTTGTATGGTGGTTTGATGTGTCACGATTGGGAGTAATTGCTGAGGTTGGTGATAATATGGGATAAATCTGGTATTGCTTGGTTCAATTCGGGGTGGTGCTAATGTTCTGTTCCTAAATTACAAATTACAGTGGTTTGATGGCATGTAGATTTAGAAACAACTGTATTTTTGAATTTTAGGCTGTATCCACCACAGCCACTAATATGTTGCCGCAGTCTATGAGCTGCTGCCACCACTGATTTCCACTTTGCCAAGGAACCAGTAGGGTGGATAGGTGGACAGCTGCTCACCTCTTGGTCGACAGCTCCTCCATTGCGTGTGTCTTGCAAAAAGGGGATTTTTATAGCCGTATTGTGAATCTGTGTGTATGTTTGTGGGTTTCTGTCCATTGAGATATATTAGGTGATATTTTTGTGTAAATAACAATTGATTTCCCTTTTGCTACTGGTGATATATATATATATATATATATATATATATATATATATATATATATATATATATTTTTACGTTTTGGAGATGAGAAATTTCGCTCTTTGTTCTGGATGCAGCTATCCCTTGGGCTTGAGTGCTGTTCGAATGAACCAGTTGGTGTCGCGGAAGTACATGGGCTGAATTTATTAACCAAGGTATTTGGATCATTTGATATTGATATTTAGAATTTTCCAGGGTGTACAAGTGGCAGTGAATATAGCACTCTCTGAATATTAAATTTTGAGGCAGTTTACAATGAAATATTGTAGGTCATCAACAAGGCAAGCATAAGAGGACCAAGGGGATCTCCATGGTAGAAGTTTGAACTTTACTTGAGGAAAACAGCCATATAGCTGGCAACAAGCAAACACCAGGTTAGTAATGAGATGCTTTCTATATATATTATGTTCTACTATTGAATATTATCTGCATGCTTGGTATTGAATGCTTGGGAAAAAAATTATAGTTGTTTGAATAGGCTTCATATTTTGTGTGATGAAAATAATTGATTGCAGCAGTAGTGGTTATTTTGGCAAGATTGCCATAATTTTAATTGGGAACTATGTTTACTGAATTGCCTGAATGTGAATGTTGTATATTTGCAATTGTTTAAACACTTAAAACATGCATTATGGGTCTGTATAGCTGATCTGTGAAAATTAACAGAGGTGCACCATGGATAAACAGTGGATGGATAAGCCTAGGTACAACAAATACTTTCAATTATTTTAGGTCTCTATGGTCCATACCCTTTTTTTATCTAACCTGGCCACTCATGGATGTATTGCACGTAGGCACTCTAGAGAATATTCAGAAGGGCTGGACATATTCCTACAACATGAATTTAGTTCAGCAGTAGGCAACAAAATACAATGCCCCTGTAAAAAATGTGCTGGTTCATTCTGGAGAGATGAAAGCGAAGTTCATGAGCATTTGATATGTGAGGGCTTTCTACGAGGGTACAAACCATTGATGTTTCATGGAGAAGGTAGCTCCTTTGTGAATTCTGCTGAGTATGATGAGGTTGGGGATGTGGAGTCAAGTGAACATGATGACATCTTTGATTTGCTTCGAGACTTGGCATGTGGCTTAGATGATAGGGGGGAATTTGAGGATGAGGGTAATTCAGATGTAACAAATGAAGATCTGAATGCTCTTAAAATGCTGTCAGATGATTATGGGCAAGAACTGTACCCAGGGTGTGATAAATTCTCAAAGCTGCATTTCATAGTTAAACTACTACACATCAAATTGCTTGGGGGATGGTCTGATAAGAGTTTTGATCTATTACTAAATCTACTTATTGAAGCTTTCCCTAAAGGGTCAGCACTACCAAAGAACTACAATGAAGCTAAGAAAACAGTGAAATGCTTAGGGCTTGGATATGTTAGTATTCATGCATGTAAAAATGATTGCATCCTTTATTGGAAGGATGATGCTAATGCCAACTCTTGTCCAAAATGTGAAACCTCAAGATGGAAGTCAGAAAACAAGAGTCTAAATGGCAAACGCATACACAAGGTTCCTAATAAAGTTCTTCGCTATTTTCCAATAAAGAGAAGGTTTCAGAGGTTGCTTGCATGCTCTAGAACAGCAGCTCTAACAAGATGGCATGATGAAGAGCGCACACAAGATGGTTTGGTTAGACATCCAGCAGATTCTCCTCTTTGGAAGGATTTTGACCATAAGCACCCAGAATTTGCCTCTGATCCTCGCAATATTAGATGTGCATTAGCTACCGATGGGTTTAATCCATTCAGATCCATGAATATTTCTTATAGCATTTGGCCTGTTATTATAATTCCATACAACTTTCCACCATGGATCTGTATGAAGCAACCAAACTTCATAATTTCTTTGTTAATTCCTGGTCGATATGCTCCTGGTAGTGACATGGATGTCTTTATGGAGCCACTAGTCGATGATATGTACGATATGTTTGTCCATGGTGTTAGAACTTTTGATGCCTCCAAGGGTGAGTATTTCCAGTTGCGTGCTGCTATATTATGCACCATTTCAGATTATCCTGGTCTTGGGTATGTGGCTGGTTGTACTACCTCAGGTGAG